TTAGGTTCATTTTGACAAAATTACATATATAAGGTGTTTGATTTCAAACCCCATCCCCATTCTTCCCTCGGGCTTTTGTCTTGCTCTACTCTCAGATATCTATATTTTAAGAGGATCCCTCTGGCTGTTATACTGACAACTAAAAGGGTCAAGCAGGGTGGGGACCCACAATAGAAACTGGTTGATGCTTGCAGGGAGTCTAGATAAAAGGTAGTGGTGGTTTTGTCTTTGTTGGTAGCAACAGAAGCATGAGCAGTGGTTGGATTTTGGATATATTTTGAAGGTAGATTTTGCTGACAGCTTGGAGGTAGGGTGTGAGTAAGGTTTTTTTTTTTTTTTTTTAATGATACCACAATTTTTGGCCTGATAAACTAGTACAGAGTTGCCATTAGCTGAAATGAAAAGAATAGTTTGGGGCATTACGAAAGATAATAGGGTATTTGTGGGCTTTTGAGAATGATTGAATAGAAAGTAGAAACACTTGAGAAAATTATTGCAGTCTAATCTTGGGTAAGTGAGAAGGATGGGTTTTAGTACATAGAGGGACTGGCCAAGAACAGATAGCAGTTAATAGGATGAAGGTCGAAGATGTGGGTTTTGATGTCAAAGATGTCGGTTTTGATGTCAAGTGGGTAGGTGTTCAAGGTCATCCACTGAGATGATGGGAGCAGAGATGTTGGAATTTGAGAAAAATAGAGAAGTGAATGGACTGGAAAAACAAAGAGGCATACTGACCCTATGGAGATTAATGATGTTGGGTTTAGTTTCCAGTGTTTGTGAATGCAGGTTGGGATTCTACCATTATACTTCCTACAAAACAGTAGTAAGATTTGGTGTGACCCAGCTGCCTTCCCCTTCTGCTTCTGATCTGCTTCATATTCTTTCAGCTGAAAAAAAGTTGATCTGTTTGGGGGTATTTATGTTAAATCTAGGAAAAAGTATGTAGAAAAGAACTAATGTCTCAGACCATGTAAATATTTAGGTTTCAGTTGTCTATACATATGATAAGACATCAAGAAAAGGAAATACTGCTTAAGTAAAAAATGAAATTAATGAAGTCTCCCAAGACTGGTCTTTCTGTGCTTTGTTTGCTTTTAATTCCTCCCCCTATCTCTTCATTTTCTTAGCTTTATGTATGTACTTATAAAGCTTAGGGTATAGTGGCTCCAGTACATTGTGATGTTTTGGTTTGATTCTAATTTCCTTTCTTCTGTTATTGAGTTTTTGTTTGCTTTGTAAAAGCTAGCACTAGTAGAAATGCTAAACTTTTAAATGTTCAGCAGCTTAAAACACCACTTACAACAACATTTAAAATTAAATTAATATATTTATAATTTTGGTGTCCAAATGAACTTTAACAAATAATGAATAATTTATTCAGAAATAATTGTTTCAACATGAAGGTGAATTTAGAACTTTAAAACATTTAAAATGTTTCAGGAAACTAGCAATTTTGCGTTTTGCTATGGCTAAAGAATATTTTAATTTCAGCAAAGAATATTTCCCATTTTTTTTTATTAAGTAATTTCTTGGTTGCTCATTAGTGCTAGGAATATTCTAGGTGAGGAAGACAAAGTTCCTGTCCTGTTATTTTAATTTGGTTGATAAATGCCTGAAAGAAAAATAAAGCCAACCCCTGTATGTAAAGTGGATATGAAAGGGAATGGGTGTTATTTTAAATGGGTGAGCTTTTGGAAGGCCTCTCTGAGGAAGTGA